GGAGAAGGGGTTACTAGCCCCGTGCTCCAGGCATTTTAGTCGCCTCTTATGACATGGATGGCTTACAGAGGGAGAATTCTGTTCCACTTCCCCATGGAGAATGATCTTATTTATAGGAATAAAATCTATGCATAGCTTTAAATTTAACTGCTTAAATTTATATTATTAATATCAGGAAGTAGCTTTCCCAGTTATTATTTCTGTATTACATTAATTAATGGGGAAGCACTACAATCACAGGGGATTATGAAGAAACTGGGAAACATAGTTGTGTTAAGGCTTGTGATAACCATTAAATTATAGCATAATTTGGTTTTGCAGTGGTATAATTTTTAAGCTTGTCACTGCATTGCTTCATTAAATATAAGTTTTGTCATTTAGGATGGCTGATGTGATGACAGATTTACAAAGTTCTAATGGTGTTGTCTCCTTGGGTATGGTTTAAATACTAAGATGTCTAAACCATAGCCTGTAATTGTTTTACATGATGGTAGGATTGCTGATGTCTTTTGTCTGTCTCATAAATATGCAAGATTACAGGTACGTCTTGCTACTTCTACTTACACTTAGGTCACACCACACATACATGTACAAGCATATATATACACACCCCTCTGGGTTTTCTGCTATTTTCTTTCTGGTTCTTGTTTATTTCCTCTTATCTCCATGGGAAAGTGGAACAGAATTCTTCCTCGGTAAGCCATGCATGTTGTAAGAGGCGACTAAAATGCCAGAGGCAAGGGGCTAGTAACCTCTTCTGTTGTATAAATTACTAAATTTAAAAAGAGAAACTTTGGTTTTTCTTTTTGGGGCATCCTACCTTGGTGGGATACGGCCGGTTTGTTGAAAAAAAAAAAATATCTGAACCATACCCAAGTAAAAGCATACTCCCAAGTACTTTATACATTAACTCATTCATTCACACTATCTCACACTTTCTTTCTTTTTCACTTGCTCTTTAATAATTAAGGAACAAAACTTGCATATCAACAGATACCTTTGACATGGATCATAGGTTAACAATATTCAATACAGCAAAAGTAATTTGGCTAAACCCAAAAGGGTCATACAGCACTGGTAAAGTAGTAGTAATGGTATGCAGTACTGACATACTGTCTTATTTATCAAGTACGTACTATATACAAAAACACGTGTGCTCTGTGGCAATGAGCACCCTGAAGTCAAGCTTGGGGGAGGTCAAAAGTAAGGTACATAACACAAGTTTCTCTGCAAACATAATACTTAAGTGTATTGTGTTTGTTGTGTCCCAGTCAAACTTCTCATTCTTTGTGAAGATCAATTCTAACATATTTTCCATTCTAGTAGGTTTTGTTATCTGCTTTTTCAGTGCACACTTTTAGTACCATGAGGCCTGGTCGTGGACCAGACTATGGGGGTAGTGACCCCCGGAACACCCTCCACATCTACCTGGTATGAAACTGTTCGGCCAGAGTGGTTCTGGCACAATTTTTGGTGTAAGGGTAGTGTTGATCCTCTTCCATTTTATATTTGGGAGCTTGGTCTCCAAGGAGGATAATATTGTGTAAGATTTTCAAGGCAGCTATCTTTTTTTCTTTTTTTTAACAAGTCAGCTGTCTCCCACCAAAGCAGGGTGACCCAAAAAGAAAGAAAATCCCCAAAAAGAAAATACTTTCATCATCATTCAACACTTTCACCTCACTTACACATAATCACTGTTTTTGCAGATGTGCTCAGAATACAACAGTTTAGAAGCATTTACGTATAATTTTACATAACATATCCTTTATCTGTCTGGTGAATTTCTCTGCTGTTATTGGTGGATTCAGTATGAAAATAAATACTGGTACCAGCTTTTTATTCATTGTAATTTCAAACATCTTATGTTGCTTGATTTGAATAGTTCATTGGATATATGGAAATTTTTTACATGTAAACCAACTCCTTCCTAAAAACCTTATAACTCTATCATAGCTATACAAATTATTTAAATTGTGATCCACGTTTTTCTAGGAAATAAATTTGTGTGGGCTTCCAAGAAGGTTTCAATCATACCATTTGTTAATGTGAGTTGGCCATTACTGAACGTAAGTTTAGTTTTCATCTTCGTTTTTATGCCTTGTATATTTGTGTAGTTTTTCACTGATGATTGTTGAATTTAATGCTGGTATAATTGTTGGCCAGTCCTATATTCTTCCCACTTAGGTGGTATGTCTGTCCTTCCCAGTACAGCTCCATCTCTGGTTTTGCCTGAAGCCTCCAAAACAGTGGGCATCCTCTCTGAGATATGATACTTTGGGCATCAAACAGCATTACTTAATCTTTACTACTCTAATCTACTCTTACCTCACCTATGGTATTTGTGTCTGGGGATCTACAACAAATCACCCACAATTTTTTTTTTCAACAAACCGGCTGTATCCCACCAAGGCAGGGTGGCCCAAAAAGAAAAACGTAAGTTTCTCTTTTTAAATTTAGTAATTTATACAGAAGGGGTTACTAGCCCCTTGCTTCTGGTATTTTAGTCGCCTCTTACAACACACATGGCTTACGGAGGAAGAATTCTGCTCCACTTCCCCATGAAGATAAGAGGAAATAAACAAGAACTAGAAAGAAAATAAAGAAAACCCAGAGGGGTGTGTGTATATATGCTTGTACATGCATGTGTAGTGTGGCCTAAGTGTAATTAGAAGTAGCAAGATGTGCCTGAAATCTTGCATGTTTATGAGACAGAAAAAAAGACACCATCAATCCTACCATCATGTAAAACAATTACAGGTTTCCATTTTACACCTACAAATACAAGAACATAAATACAGCCTCTCCTCACTTAATGACAGAGTACCATTCCTAAGACCGTGTCAGTAAATGAATTCGTTGCTAAGTGAGGAGCATACTATAATGGTAGTGGGTTTGTGTCAACCATCTTTGATATTGTTTTAATGTCACCTTTGCACCATTTATAACATTTTTGGTATGTTTTTAAATGTTTATGCAGCAGTGTACTGTATATTGTAATAAACAGAATAGAAGAAATCGGCTCTGATATACATTATTTAGGTACGCATATTGGTCAGAGAGCCCTTCATAAGTCAGAGTAGTTGATAAACGAGTATGTCACTAAGCGAGGAGAGGCTTTATTTTAATTTTGAATTCACTGTATAAAACATACAATAATCTGAAGGCCTATAAGATGCATAGCATTATGGGCAAAACTTGGAATATAATGTACTTAAAATTTTTTGCTTCATTTTTTTTTTTTTTTTGAGGTCTAATGTACATGGTATCAATAGAAATTTAAAAATTAGTAAAAATTAATTATATTTTTTATTATTGTTATTTTATGAATTATCTAGTTTTAATAGAGCGAGTGGTATTAGTTAAATAAAAATACAAAACAATAAGATAACGTATAAGTTCAATGAGAATTATTCCTGCATTATTTTTATTATAATCATGGAGTGCTAAACCTGTAGAATTATACAGCACATGTAGGAGGGGGGGGGGGGGGGCTGAAGGCATTCAGGCACAATTCACGGAACCAGAGCACAAATCCAATTTTCCCTTTGATCAAGAACCCCTCACCAGCGTCAAGGAACCTCCCTTGAGGGGAATTATTCCTGCAGATATGGCTGTAAAAAGTAAAGACAAAGATTAAAACTATTTCAAACTTGCCAGTACAAGAGCTGAAAGAAGCAATTGCAACATATTGTACAATATATGGGGGGAGGAAGTGAGAGAAGAAGATGAAACAAGAAGTAATGGGAGGGAATTAGATGAAAACATTTAGGTTTCAGGATTTGTTCGATACAGTATATTGTTGTCGAGAATTATGTACATCAAGGTTAAGGAAATACTTTCTAAATAACAAAAAGGCACAATACGTGACTGGAACAATACACAAATAACCCGCACATAAAAGAGAGAAGCTTACGACGGGCGTTTCGGTCCGACTTGGACCATTGACAAAGTCACACTAACAGAGGTGGAGCAGGACGGCTATATATAGGCAGGAAGAGGTGGTAGTAGTAGTAGTACAATTATTGTACTACTACTACTACTACTACTACCACCTCTTCCTGCCTATATATAGCCGTCCTGCTCCACCTCTGTTAGTGTGACTTTGTCAATGGTCCAAGTCGGACCAAAACGTCGTCGTAAGCTTCTCTCTTTTATGTGCGGGTTATTTGTGAAATACTTTTTAACAGTAGCTTTGAAGCATTTAGCAGATAGAGAACCTTTGGAATCTTCAGGAAGAGAATTCAATAATTTAGAGCTTTTTATGTGCATAAAGCTTTTGGTCAAATAGAGCCAAACATGTGGGAAGGAAAGGATATCAGAGATTTGTCTCTCTTGTATTATGCCTATGAGTTCTGTTGCAACTTTCCAGGGAACATTTCAGAGCAGGGTTTTTATTTGAAATGATTGTCCTGTATATATAAAATGTGCCTAAAGTCAGTAATAACTCAACAGAAAGCTGCTGTATGAACAATCACTCAAGCAAGTTCTAGATAATACCCCCACTCTTCATACAAAACATTCATACTATCATACATAATATATACAGGCATCATAAATATGCATGTGCGTAAGTATGCTTTCACCAAACTCCTTGCCTGACAGTTTCAAGAAGTGTTTCCCGACAATTTTTATATGGAAGATGTTTGCCCTTACCATACTGCCAAAGATGTACATGATTGGCTAAATGATTGCGAAATTCCATTCTTTAATGATTGACCTGGTAACTTTTCTGTATAGTGTATGTCCTTAAATGATTACTGATAAACCAGATATATTCATGGCTTGTAAATACATTCTTGTAGGCATTGTATATTTTGGAAAGGTTAAGCTGAAAAGATTCACTAGTACAAAAACAAGAAATGCAGTCTGATTCATTCTTTGTCTTTGTTTTCTCAAAAAGCCATATACTGTTTTAATTAAATTAAGTCTCAAAATAAGAAAACCAAATTAGGTTTAAAAGTAAAAATTCACATTTGTATACACCAGGTCAACAAAAACACTTTTTAAGAATTTGTATAATCTGTATTTTGAACTTGTGCATAACTCTGCACTATATGTAATGATGTACAAGCATCAATATACATGAACATATAATGTTAAGCCAAGTAAAATACGAGAAAAAACACAGATGGCACATATAGTTCATGTCATTATACTATACATGTACTGTTGATTATCAAAAAGAAGCACTAAACCTACAAGGGTCATACACTGCAACACTATACTGTACAATAAATATCAGAGGGCAAGAAAAACTAAAATTAAGTAAGTCGTTGCTTTGACAAGAAACTTAAACCCTTCTCAAAATAAAATTCAATTTTTTGAGGCAGAACGATATCTTTGTTTTGTTCGAATTCTTGTCTTATTCGTCTCCGAAAGTACTCCTGATCAGTCAGCTCCAATGTTTTGCCATAGGTGAGCAGTGCCTTGTATAGCTGCAGAACTTGCTGACGTGTTGGACCTCCCATTGCTACAACCTGAAAAAAGTAACTGATTATATTACTGTATAACCATAGAGAATTGCTAAAGCTGTAGAGGCCATACAGCACCTAAGGAATGAGATATAATCTGGTATGAATTAATTAGAAAATAACTAATTCCTTGCATAAAGAGCCCCTCAGAATTGAAACAATGGCCAGGAGGCCATTGAGTGCTCCTTTTATTCTTATTACATAGATAAGGATACTACTTTCATGTCTACATGGGCCAAACTACACAGCACACCCTGATCATAATACTGTACATAGACTCCAAAACAACTCCATCATTAAAGGCCTTCATTATCATGCAATCATCCTATCCATGACACCATAAATTTCCAAAGGACAGCTGAGCTTGAATGAACACTGGTTTAGGAGAGCTATGCTGGCGAAGGTACCACCCCAAGTGCTGGTGGTGGTGATGATAATAAATAATCTATTTCTACAAGTACATTATGGGTTTAATTCCTGGTTATGATTATTATATAACCTGCAAGTACATACATTATTCAACTATTACAGACCTAGCTGACATCACTGGCACACTATATAGAAAGCCCCTGGTTATGCAGAGTATTTCAGGCAAATCAGGTAAATCTTGTTCCCCAGGATGCAAACCGCAAAAGTTGTCAAACACCGAGGTACCTACTTTCAGGCGAACAGGGACTGGAGGTATAAGGAAACATGCCTAACATTTCACCTGCACCAGGACTGATCCCCAGGCTGTGTGTGTGTGTGTGTGTGTGTGTGTGTGTGTGTGTGTGTGTGTGTGTGTGTGTGTGTGTGTGTGTGTGTGTGTGTGTGTGTGTGTGTGAGAGAGAGAGAGAGAGAGAGAGAAACCTTGGGATGCTATCAACCAGCCCCATACTCATCCCATGCCTGGGAACAGTGGATTGTTGGGTGGTACTTATCATGTCAGCAATGCTCACTCAGAAGATTGCTTCTTTCAAATAAATACCCAGTGCTGATAAATCTTAAATGCTGCCTTGCACAGACAAATAAACAAGGACCTAGACACTCCTACCAACTGATATGTCATTAGACTTTAGCAAACTGGTTGCTAGCAGAATGTGTACACATGGCTGCCGATCAACCAACCATTGTCCACTTGGGTCACGTGGATTGCTTTTCATTCCCCACGTACTGTATGATTCCCCCCCCCCCTCAAGGGAGGTTCCTTGATGCTGGTGAGGGGCTCTTGATCTAGGGAATTGGATCTGTGCTCTGGTTCCCCGAATTGAGCCTGAATACCTTCCACCCCTCCCCCCCACATGTGCTGTATAATCCTACAGGTTTAGTGCTCCCCCATGATTATAATAATTACTGTATGACCCCATAAAGGTTTAGTGCTTAACCACAAATACTGTACAATAATACTGTAGTAATACTTCTAATAAGCCTCAACATTCAGGCAAGACTTAATTCTTTTTGATTATAATAATAATCAGGCAAGACTTAAGCTAAAACAAATTTAATTAAATGTATAAAGACAAAATCAACTGTCTGAATGAGCAGGACAAATTTTAGATCCATGATCAAAACACAAATTAATGTAAACTCGAGTAAATGCTGTTTGTTGCAAACTGAAGACATAATGCCAACAAGTAGTGACATACAATAACTGTAGTCAAGTTCCTCACTGGTACAACGTTTCATCCACGAGTAGGCTTTTTCTAGTACATGATGGTTGAGATGCAAGTGTTTTACCTATTAGTTTAACAATGTACCAATAAAGGACTTCACTGCAAACAGTAGTTAGAACCAAATGCTGTTTAATAAATTCTTCTTTTTGATTATAATAATAATGTTTAATAAATTATTATTATTATTATAAGACTGACTGCTAAACCCATAGTTTACACAACACACAGGGCCATGGGAAGCAATTAGGTTTGATCCAAGGAATGTTATTTTCTTGAATAAAGATTATCTCAACAGCATCAAGGAGCCTTCCATAGTAAGTCAGTTTATTTAGGTACAGATACACACAAATAGTCATACAAATTATACATAGTAACATTGGGGTCCTTGAGGAGTTAGTGGTCCTCGTAATAACACAAGTTACTATACAACTGAGACAATTGACCCAGTAGTCGTTGCTGTTATACATATGCAGTTCGCAAGACTCTTGTTTCTTCTTCAACTATGTCTAAACCAATAAACTTATTCCGTCCTAGTTAACAGCTCCTGAAAGTGGCTGCACAAGCTTGAGTATATCTTATTGTTCAGCACCTCACTGTACGTCTTCTCTTCAGGATACCAGCAGTTTGCTTGGTCAGTCCTCCCGATGACAACACGAGTTGTTATATGGAGACAACGTAAGTGGAATTTTGTGTATTTTCTGGAGGCTGGGTTGTTGGGGGTGTTAAGGGGCCACCGAAACTTACGCCTTATTAAACACTCCTGGGAGACCGGGGAAAATTGGTTGCACTATTCTTGGGAATTATAATGAAAACTGTTTTGAAGAAACGGGATTAATAGGGTTCCAATTAGGTCAGTGGAACCCCAGTAAAGCCAGACGATCATGCATCCCCCACCTCAGTTAGCAACAGGTATTCCGTTAGCCCAGATGAAGCTGATATATGACACCCCGACCAATTGCCGACAAGTCTTGTGACTAATAAGTTTATTTACCTGGAGGAAATTCCGGGGATCAACGTCCCCGCGGCCCGGTCCACGACCAGGCCTCCCGGTGGATCAGGGCCTGATCAACGAGGCTGTTACTGCTGGCCGCACGTAATCCAACGTACGAACCACAGCCCGGCTGATCCGGCACCGTCTTTAGGTATCTAGGTACAGGTACACTTTAGTACATTTATCATACATAGTTTAACATGTGTAAATTACCTAGGATAATCTAATAAGATAAGATCTTTTACAAATTTTAACCCGGGGAAGGGTTAGCCCCTAGGATAACTCAAAAAAGTCAGTGCGTCATCGAGGACTGTCTTATTGCTGCACTATGATCCTTATAACAAATAACAATTTTATGTTAGCATGATACATATTTGTACAAAGGATTATAACAATTTGGTGAACATGCCAAAAGCCCCTTTATATGCAGAGCATTTCGGGCGAACTTAAGGGTGGTAATATCAGTGTTGTAATTGTACACATGATGGTCATTCGGTGAGTTACAGTGAATACAAGAAAGTTGAATATTCAACTAGTTCACGGTATATGGCTTTAATAAGTTAGGTAGAGAAGAATTTCAGTTTTGATATAGTATATAAACAACGCAGTATTACAATTTACCACAATTTAAAACAATGAAGTTGAAGTTGAGTACGCAGTATTACAATTTACCACAATTTAAAAAAAATGAAGTTGAAAATTTTAAGTTTGAAGTAATGATTAAATAGTTGAGCAATCATCAAGCACAATTTACAATAATGAAATTGTAACAATTTTAAGTTTGAAGTAAATGATCAAATAGTTGAGCAGTCATAAATTATTTACAAGTTTTTTTTTGAGTAATTTGTAGGTGCTAAGTGATCCTACGGGTTTAGAGCTCCCCTTGATTATAATAATAATGTAGGTGTTAAGTACAGTGTTTGGTTAATTTTAGGTGATGAGGTGATTTATAAGTTTGGCCTTAAATTGATTTGCAGGCAGCAGGGGCCCTTTAGTGTGTTTAGTACTGAACTCCAATTCTTCGGACCCTTTATGTGCATAGCATTTTTGCATGGGGAGAGATGGACATGAGGGATATTGAAGAGTGATTTGTGCCTTGTGTTATGCCTGTGTATTCTGTTGTAGCTATCAAGGAGGAGTTTGAGAGGAGGGTTAATATTTGAGTATAATTGTGTAGTAGGCACAATAATAAATGTGGATGTTTTGTATATTAAGCAAGTTAAGACTCTTAAAAAAAGCGGTGAAGTATCCTGTCTAGTGCAGGAGTTGGTAATCAATCGCACAGCAGCTTTTTGTTGGGTTATTAGAGGTTTAAGGCGATTTGCTGTGGTTGAGCCCCATGCACAAATACCATAGGTAAGGTAAGGGTAAATGAGAGAGTGGCAAAGAGCAAGAAGAGCCGTGTTGGGATACATAGTACCGTGTCTTTGAAAGGATGCCTACTGTTTTGGAGACTTTCTTGGATACTTGCTGTATGTGGGTCTGGAATTTGGAGACTGCAGTCAAGGCGGAGACCATGAAATTTGCCGTGTGTGTGTGTTGAAATGGGTGAACCATTTATCAATATATTTAGCTGTACATTTGAAGCTCTGTTTCCAAATAACATGAAGTAGGTCTTGTCTATATTGAAAGTAAGTTTGTTGGTAGTCATCCAAATAGATATTTTTATTGGTTTGTCATTTACAGTGTTAATATAGTTGGGTTTTGGTGAGAGAAGGCATAAGTAGTGTCATCTGCAAACAAAACGGGTTTAAGGAGTTTAGATCTGTTTGGGAGGTCATTGATGTAAATGAGAAAGAGAAGTGGGCCACGGACACTACCCTGTGAGACTCCAACAAGAACAAGTTGTGTAGTGGAGTTGATGCTCTTTATACATACTGGTTTCTATTGCTAAGATAAGATTTTAAATAATCGAGTGTGTCCTCTGACTCCGTAATGTTCAAGTTTTAGATGCAATAGGTCATGGTCAACTGTATCAAATGCTTTTCATATGTATGAAAAATCCCAGTGGAATTTAATTTTTTCGAGTGCCGAATATATTAGTTCAAGCATAGGTATAATTGCATCGTTAGTACTTTTTGTCGGTCTAAATCCAAACTGACAGGGGTTAAGTATGTTGTGGGATACTAAGTACAAGTAGACTTGTTTGTGAATTAATTTTTCGAAGATTTTAGATAGGGGCAAGTTTGATATAAGCCTATAGTTGTTCAGATAAATTGGATCACCTAGTTTGAGGATCGGGGTAAACCTTGCCGTCTTGAGTATGGCTGGGAAGGTGGAAGATTCAGTGGATTTGTTAGTTGCAATAATTGGTAACAACACGTGAGAATCTCTTTTATACATGAGTGGTGGTAAGTTATTTATGTCTTTTGTCTTATTCTTTATGTTCTGATGATGAGCGCTTCGTTTTGATTATAATAATGTCTGTATTTCCATTGTGGTTCTTTAATCTTGTCCCCCAGGATGCGACCCACCCCCAGTCTACTAACACCCAGGTACTTAATGCTAGGTGAACAGGGACAGCAGGTATTCCCACCCGTGTCGGGAATCAAAACCACGGACACTCAATGTGTGAGGCGAGAACTTTGCCAGCCAAGCCGCAGGTAGGTTCACTTCTTTGAATCTAGATTCCATAACCGGCATTAAATAAAATTTCTTAAAGGGTCTCATCGAAAGTAGAAACAAACAAAAAAATATTGCCGATCGGTACACAACCCTCACATAGCAGAGAGAGAGAGAGAGAGAGATTACGACGACGTTTCGGTCCGACTTGGACCGGGTTATTTGTTTATTCTTTCAATCACGGTATTGTGTCTTTTTGTTCTTTGCGATCAGGTCAGATGGACCCTTCTTGTCTCAGCTCCGGCAGAACGAGAAGCCTGTAAGGAGCCTGTAACCGGCTTCCCTCCTAAGCCATAGACCATACGGCGGTAAATGGAACTGATGAATATTGAGTACCCTGGCCTTTAATGTGCCCAGTGGGTAGAATAAGATTAGGACAAGTGCAAAACGAAGGTCAGCCACCAACTCAACACTATATGGTATGGCAGGCGCATGTTGGAATATGCAACACTAGTATGAAACCTACGCCTAGTCAAGCAGCGCTGTATAGCCCTTGTGGCTTAGCGCTTCTTTTTTATTATAATAATACGCCTAGTCAAACATGAGAAGAAACCGGAAAAAAGTGCAGAGGTTTGCAACAAGACTAGTCCCGGAGGTACGAGCTATAGAAGACTAAAACAACTAAATCCGATTGAATTAAAGGATAGAAGGACCAGGGAAGACATGATAAAGACGCACAAAATACTAAATAGGATGGACAGGTATAAGCTGTTCAAGTGGCGGGAAACAGGAACATGAGGGCACAGCTGGAAGTTAACATCAGATGCATAACAGGTATGTTAGAAAATATTTTGGTAAATATTGAGTTTATGGGTTCCAGTGAGTTTCGCGAAAATATTTAATGGAAAGTGTGTAATACTGATTGGTTTGTTCAATAGAGATAATTATATTTTGTTCCAATTGAAAAAAAAAATTGCCTTGAAGAAATATTTATAAATGACCCTTATTTAACTATTGAAACCAACTTAACCAGTCCCAACCTAACGTAACCCAATGTACACTCAAGATACATTGCTCAGGTCATGGTATTACTGGAAATGTTTATATCCCTGGGCCAGCGAGTCGTGCGCTGATTGACCCGGCATATAATTGATCTAAAACTTATTACGTTTCAAATAAATTGCAAGAGTTAATTTTTTTTTTTTGCCGGACTATGGTTAGATTGCTTGTGTTATAGAAATGAAAAAGAATTAATTTGTTTTGAGTCCTTAATATTTCTTCAATCTCATGAGTTTTTTAGTTTAATATGTTTATTATGCACACCATCCCCCTCCTGTGGCTGGTAGTCAAAAGACTTGGCAGACGATGCACCATCCCCCCAATGAAAAGCAGGGGTGTCACTAGCACGTTAAGAGACCATACAATAAGTGTCAGGGGCCCGAGACTGTTCAACTGCCTCCCAGCACACATAAGGGGGATTACCAACAGACCCCTGGCAGTCTTCAAGCTGGCACTGGACAAGCACCTAAAGTCAGTTCCTGATCAGCCGGGCTGTAGCTCGTACGTTGGTTTGCGTGCAGCCAGCAGCAACAGCCTGGTTGATCAGGCTCTGATCCACCAGGAGGCCTGGTCACAGACCGGGCCGCGGGGGCGTTGACCCCCGGAACTCTCTCCAGGTAAACTCCAGGTCTACATAATGGGGTCCAGGGACTGGACCCCAAAGTTATGATAGCTGAACAAGTTACAAAGGTAATGAACTCCAGGTAGATCTGGTCACAATCATGGCAAGTTACAAAGGTAATGAACTATTTACACTCCTATACATGGTTACAGTCATGAACAAATTACAAAGTAATGAGCCACTGACACGTTCAGGAAGTGAGTCATAGACAACAATGTGGTAGAGGCAGGATCTTTACACACCATTATGGCTTAGCGCTTCTTTTTGATTATAATAATAATACACACCATTAAGAATAGAGTACAATAGGACTCACAAAGCCAAGAGAAAAGTGGGGTTAGGAGCTGAGACTCGACTTTTGCAGCTACAAATATGTGAGTACAACTGTTTGTGTTCCCTTCAGTGGAGGTGCCTTGATGCCAATGGATTCAAGGAATTGGAACTTTCTTCCTTTGGATCGAACCCCATTACCTGATATTCCCCCAGGTGCTGTATAACCTCC